TTTTTTTCCTCTTCTTTCTTCTTCTAATTGAGCTCTGATCATCCAGTCATTGAAGCCAGGTCAAGTGGGTATTACCTGCAAGTGTGGGTGTTCTTAAGCAATATGCCCTCTCTTATTAACTGGATGCTTCACTCTCCACTCTAGCCCTCTATGGCTTTGTCACTATCTCTGGGCCCAAGAGTCTCCAGGTCTTGCCACACTGCTGGTCAACCAGGTCTCCACCTGGGTTCATAGGAGTCTATTATGGCATTTGGTTTTAAGTGGAAACTGTCACTTTAAATTTTGAGGAGATCTGTGTGCATGCATAGTATTACCTTCCAGGGGTGGGACTGGGGTGTCCACTAGCTCCGGCACCCCCTCTAGCCCTCTATTCACTGGAATGGAGGGCACAAACAGGAGCAACCAATGAACAGATACAAAAAAAAAAAGTGTCCACACCTTTATCTCTGTGGTTCTGTGAGGCGTCCGTGGCTGCTCTGATCCTTCCCCTGCTTGGTCTCACCCAAGATGGCAGCTCCGGGAGCAGCTGAGCGTCTTGGATTAGAAAGTAATGGATTTCTTGCTTCTCCTTCAAATTCCCCTAGCTGTAAGCCTTTCAACCTTCTAAATATTCCTTTATACGTGTTTCAGAGTTCTGGCACCATCCCCTGAGCCTGCTTGGTCCTGTATTCTTTGTTGTTGTTGACGGAGCTCCTCACTGCACATCCACCCAATCCGCCATTTTGTTTGTTTCTCATTTGTACAGTTTTGCACATTGCTTCTTTTTACTTTAACATTTTATCTTAGTGATTGTTCCTCATCAGTTCGTAAGTATATTGCTTGTTCTTTTTAATAAATATTTAGTATTCATAGGATAAGCACTGGACTGGTCGGTGATTCAAGCACACCAGACATGCCTTAGAAACTATACAGGGTCACTGTGAGTCAGAACTGATTCAACAGCACTTAACAACAATAAGTTATAGACAGAAGTTCTGATGTGATGACATTTGCTATATTAGAATTTTTAAAAAGACAAGATTGTCTCTATAAAGTATTAATATGTATTTTAAACTTCATTTTTAGCTTTTGAAAACTGATCACTTTCAAGTATGTTAGAAACAAGTTACATTTCAAAGTAAATATACAAGGAGGCTTCAAAAACTTTTTAAGAAAATTCTTTTATCTTTTAATTCTGTTTTTCTATGAAT